ACGTGATGGCGAACCTGTGGTGCAGGCAAACTTACCACGTGCATGTGCGTGCTTCACGGCTGATTTTTGGCAGGTTGGAGGCCTTTTTCGGCCTTCCAAAAGGCTTAAGGCTTCTGCAGGTTTGCAGGCCGAAAAACTAGCCTCGTTTTTGTCACTTCCTGTTTTTTTCTGAAAATACCGGAAGTGACGAAACGGGGCTAGTTTTCGGCCTGCAAAAGCCTTCCTCAAGCCTTTGGGAGGCTGAAAAAGGCCTCAATTCTGGCCAAAAATCAGCTGTGAGGCGCAGTGCAGGTAAGGGGGCGTCACGGGTGGGTGGGTGGGGATTATGCGCACATGGGGGAGGGGTGCATTGCTTTCTGGGTGCTGGACAAATTTTTGGCGCAGGAGCCCCAAAAGGTTAGCCACCACTGCCCCTCTACCCATCACCACCTCACATGGCCCAATCACCATCCATCCCAAAGTAAGATTTCCATTTCACTTATGTGCCGCACTACATGACCTTGAGCCAGCAAAAGAATTTTATTTTGTCTAACTGGATCTACTCCAATGAATTCCTCCCTCCCACTTTCCCAGGCTCAATTGTGGCAGCATCGCATCTCAATATGGCTTCCGAATCTAAGCAGTCCCAAATCCCCTTCCCCCCCCCTCCTTCCCCAGTGGCGTTGTAACTTCAAATGGTCGTACGTCGAGGACTAGTTGTCATTTTTTTTTTTCCCCGGAGCCGGGGCAGCGTGTCAGCCCCCTGGAGATCCGAGCTAGACTCCCGCCTTGATTCTGTCCCCACCCTTCCCCCCGCAGGTTCGTCTTCCAGGCGAAAGTGGGCGGCCGCTGGTTCCCGTCCGTCACGGCGCACAGCAAAAAGCAGGGGAAGCAGGAAGCGGCCGACGCAGCGCTGCGGGTTCTCATCGGGGAGAACGAGAAGGCCGAGCACGCCGCCGAAGGGCTGGGCACCACGGAGGTCAGGGCTTCTCTCGCCTCCTTCGCCGGCTCCCGGGCCGGTCTCATTCCCCCGCTCCTTCTGAAGGCAGCTTCTGTCCCATTGAATATAGAATAATCGAGTCGGAAAGGATCTGGGAGGTCATCTAATCCAACCCCCCCCTCCCCGCCCCACCCAAACAGGAGACCCTACACCATTTCTGACCGAGGCCAGTCCACAGTCTCTTCTCGAAAGCCTCCAAGGGTGAAAGTTCCCACCACAACGTCCGTCGGTTGATTGCTCTCTCCCTGTCAGAAAATAGGCTGCTGGACTCGGAGCCCTTCTGAATCCCGCCGGAGGGCTGGTTCAGATGTCCTCTTAAGTTCCCTCCCCTTTCTCTGCCCGGCCTCACTCACGGGGTTGTCGTTGTTGTTACAAGCAGGGCAAAAAAAAAAACAGGAAACATGAAGGTCCGCAGCCTTTTGTTCCAAGAGGGAAGGCAACCTATAAATAAAACCAAAAATTTTAAAAAAAACAAAAACCAACCCACAATTATGGGAACTTCACAGCCACACGATTCAACTTGGAACAGTCACTAAACGAACTGTCGTAAGTTGAGGACTCCCTGAATTGAGGCTCCCCCTTGTTTTAACACGTCTCGCCCCTTGGCTTCTGGTCTGCATTCTCCCCTGTCCCCCAAAGGCCAGGGATGTGACACACACACACACACACACAGAGCTCGGAAAGGCCGTTGCTGACCCTTCCTCCGTCCCGTTGCAGCTGCCGGTCAGCGGGAGCACCCTGCACGACCAGATCGCCATGCTGAGCCACCAGCGGTTCAACGCCCTGACCGCCCGCATCCAGCACAGCCTGCTGGGGCGCAAGATCCTGGCCGCCATCATCATGAGGAAGGGGCAGGACGGGCTGGGGGTTGTGGTCAGCATCGGGACAGGTAAGGGGGCGTTTTATTGTGGCCTGAAAAGCGGGGTGGACCGGAGGGGGAGGGAAAGAGAGCCAGAATTTGCCACTCGTGCTTTTGGAGGTGAAGCAGAATGGATTCTTTTCTGGAGAGAAAAGTGGGGAGGGGGAGGTCGTAACTGCAGGGAAGGGGTCGTAGAACTGAACTTAACGCATCGGGGAAGGAGACCAGCGGCTGGTTCTCTTTCCTTCTCTCTCTCTCTCTCTCCCCCCCCCCTTTTAGCTTCGCCTTCCATTTCTTTCCTCTTTTTACCCCCGTTTTCTTTATTTGTATTTGGTTTTGGTTTTGGTTTTGATAACAAGACTAAAACGATAAATCTATCAGACAGAGAGAGAGAGAGAGAAGGGAGGAAAGGAAGGAAAGATTTATATACCACTTCATCACAATGCTTTTACAGCCCACTCTAAGCAGTTTACAGAGTCAGCCTATGACCCCCAACAATACAGATAGATGGATAGATAGATAAACGGATGGAAGGGGAGGAGGGAGGGAAGGAAGGAATAGAAATAGAAATGGGTATAGATAAAAGATGGAGGGAAGGGAAGGAAAGAGAAGGAAGGAATAGAAATAGATATGCGTATAAATAAAAGATGGAGGGAAGGGAAGGAAGGAGAGAAAAGGGGAAGGAGGGAAGGAAGGAATAGAAATGGATATAGATAACAGATGGAGGGAAGGGAAGGGAAGGGAGAGAAGGGAAAGAAGGAAGCGAAGGAAGAAAGGAATAGTGTTAGACGGGTAGTTAGATAAATGGAAGGAATAAAGATCCATGAGTAGATAGATAAAAGATGGAAGGAAGGGTAAGAAGGGAGGGAGAGTAAGGAAGGAATAGCGATGGGTAATTAGATAAGGAGATGGATGGCAGGGGAAGGAAGGAAGGAGGGGAGAGAGAAGGGGAAGGAAGGAAGGAAGGGTCTAAGGTGGTCTCTTCCCTTGCCAGGGAACCGCTGCGTGAAAGGGGAGGAGCTGAGCTTGAAAGGGGAGACGGTCAACGACTGCCACGCCGAGATCATCTCCCGGAGGGGATTCCTCAGGTGAAAGAGGCGGAGGATGGAGGGGGGGTGTCCGTGAGCCCCGACCACTGGCGGGAAGGCTGTGGTGGTGGGGAAATCGCCACGCCCGGTCCTTTTTATTGGGGTATATCCCCCACCAACGTGCCACGAGTATAGTTAGTCCTCGGCTTAACCCCCCCTACCCATTCAGCGACTGCTAATGGCGATGCCTCCGCTTAACGGCAAGTTTTCTTCCCCGGCCTCATCGTAAGTCGGGGATGCTTGCTGCGTTGTCCCTTCAACCTCCCCTCTCCTCGTCCCCAGGTTCCTCTACAGCGAGCTGATGGCGTTCGACCCCCTGGCGACAGAGGAGAGCATCTTCCAGCTGGCGGAAGACGGGAAACTGAAGATCAAGGATGACGTCAGCTTTCACCTGTACATCAGGTGAGTTGTAACGCCGCCACCTCTCACCCCGGCACGCCAGGTGAGCTGGGATGGTGTCGCCTGGACGCCAGGCGAGCTGCAATGCCGCCTCTCCACTGTACTCCAGGTGAGCTGGCGGGGGTGTCGTGTTTCACCTGTGCACCAGGTGAGCGGGGATGTTCACCTTTCACCTGCGTGCCAGGTGAACTATCACGATGTCGCATTTCACCCGGTACACCTGTAAAACGGAGGCTTGCCTCAGAGCAGCGGGGAGAAACGGACGTTTAGGTGACCAGGCCACAGGCAGTCCTCGACTTAACGACCACGTTGCAAAGCGAGAAATTGGTTAAGCCTCCTTTTATGACATTTTTACGAGAAATTGCGACTCCTTTTACGAGAAATTGCTTTGCCTCCTTTGACGACATTTCTCGCCACGTTTGTTAAGCGAATCCCGGCGCCTGAATTTCGATCCTCGCGACCCTGTGGTGCTACCGTGGTTTGCTTAACGACCGTGGCAATTTGCTCCACGGCCACTGCTGAGAAAGGTCATATAAAAATCAGGCGCTCTTTTACAACCGTCCACCGTCTCGACGGGTCCCCTTAACCGTCGTATGTCGGGGACTCCCTGTAGGAACTGGGGAGGCATAAGGGG